CGAACCCTGACACACAACAGAAAGCCTGTTGATTATCATATTTGAACACCAAAAGACCACTTTCTTGTCTTTACAACCTTTGCATATGCACTCTGGGGTTCGATTTTACCTACTTATATGCTGCATGTATGGATCAATGGAGTGTAATTCGTATCATACGTGCATTCCATACTACGAATCAGTTTAGCATGGAGAGATACTCATCTCTGAAAAGGGCTTCAGTATTTGAATTTATGTATTTCTTGAGAAACTGGGAAGTTTTTAAACTTTGTAAATAGTAATGAAAATATTTTATAGCCATTGTCAATTTTTCCGAGAGTGCCTGTTCCCCATTCGTGGAAAAAACGTAGAAGTTTAGCATGTGTCCTTTTTTACTTGTAACTAAACTCTAGGCGTCGCAAAGGTTGGAGGGTCGTTGAACTGATATTAACACATTAATCAACGGACGTACGATCCAATGTGATTTATTCCACTGGTGTTCGAAAACGTCAAACAAAAATACAAACAAAAGGCCAATTTAAGCGATACGAAATGAAGGCCGCGAACAATAGTCGCATTACAAAAAATACACGAACGCAAGATAAAACTAACAATAATCAAGGTATAACTTAAACGAAATGAAATTAAAAAAATACAAAGCTATGCTTATCGACTTTACTCTCTGTACGCCTAAGAATAGATGGAACTTAACCAACTGAAATTCCCAGAAAAGTGACGACTTTAAAAACGTTCAATTTGCAACACAAACACACGATATTGCCACTAAGCGCGAGGCTCAAAAATATGATCCGAAAACGTGACTAATATCTAATTTTAGATAATACCTAACCCGACAATAGTTACATCACTAAAAAAGCTATTCGGGAAAGATTTTGAAACAAAAATTAGCGAAAGTATGTTAAATATTGATAACATCTGGATATAATTTCAAGGTCGATCCATCCCCTTTTTATATTGACCATATAATGTTATGCATTTGTTATCTTTGAGTCAATCATTTGGGCAAAATAAGTTCTCTCAGAGAAACTATGAGTCTGTGACAAGGAAGTACACGAATGCCACGCGAACAAAGCTTTGGTCGATAAAAACTAACTTAACTAACTTAAATAAGTATCTGTAACAAATTGTGGGACATTGGCTGAACCCTCGTCTACCACTCCCATTTTTTGCATTGGCCGCACAGGCTAAGGTGGGGAAGGCAAGATTTCTGCTCAAACGAAACGGAGAAGGCTATGATTGCCATTAAATATTGTGGCATTGGGACAGGTTGTTTCCAAGAAATTGCAGAAGTCACATACATTTTCAAAGAGCCCCTCTCAGAAGGGCTAAATGTGTTCAAAATAAAGATAACAACTACCCTTCTTTGGTTCAAAGAAGAAAAAAAAGAGTTCGAATTGCGTTCTTGAAACTTTGACCCAGCGTGTGTAGTAAGGAGGATCACGATCAATAAACTTAACTTCGTTCCAGAGTGGCTAATGTCCGGTGTTGTAGTCGTGCTCTGAAACGGCGGAGGTCTGGGTATGTTGTGAATCACTACAACCATTTCACCTGCACACAAGCTGGGTAGATGCACCGTGATCAAGTGCTTACGTCGTGGACTTGTATTCTATCCAGGGAAGAGTAATGGATGCTGCTGCCGAGGGTTTCTTGTGTTTCAAGTTAGTAGTAAAATAAGAACAATGATTCTCTTGGACGCCTTGACTTTCTTCCTGATCTTGTGGTTAAATCCTTGGTATCTCTCTGAATATCTTCATCTTCCAGTTCTGCTGACTCATTTGACATTTCTTCCCCAGTCTCTCTTGCAGTCGGTGGATCTCCATGGTCCAAGCACGGAACCATATAAAAGTGGTATTCTTCTTCCTTAAATACGATAAGGTCGTCTTTAAGAGTAGAGGCGTGAGGTCGCAAAGCGCGAAAGTGGCGCGAAATGGAAAAAGCCGTGAGGGAGAGGGAGAGTTGTTCTCGGACAAGAGCCGATATTGGCATCTATTGTCAATATTAACAATATTTGATGGCAAAATGTAAAAAATCGCATTTGAAATTTTTTTTTCACTATTAGCGCCTTCTATATTGACTAATAAACTTATTTTTATTCTTTTTAAAAATGAGAACTTCGATCTTCGATATCCCAGAATCTTTTTTTAAATATCCCGTACCCCTTTAATTTTTGACCCGAATATCCCGTAAACTATCAGAGCCTCACTAAATAAACGTATCGTGAAGCCCGAACTCGCATTGTCCTCTTTTTACATGGTGGCAGCGGTGGGATGTGAGTTCGATAAAATTACTCCCGATGAATACTGAGAGATCGATTGATCTTTGGGATCCGAGACACAACGGCCTCCAAGCAAAGAAGGGCCTCCACGCGAGTAAAGTTTAACGCTTACGAAAACTGGTGAAATCTGCCGGCCGGCCGAAAGTATGCTAGCCCAAATGAAATTAGCAAAGGAAACCTAAGAGACAGACGTTAACACTGGAAATAAATCAGAAAGCGAAAGTCTCCTCTCCTCTTCTTCACTAGAGTGTGAATCTTGATCCTAAATAATGTATTAGATGTTCAGATAACATACCAAATTTACCGATATTACTTTATTGTTATATGTTTATTTTAGATCACTACCTAACAACTTTTCAAACATTTACGTCGCTCGCAGATTTGCAGCTCAGTCAATATCCACCACTTTCAACGACACGAAGGTGAATAATTGTTTCAGTTTATACCATACAAATGCAAAAAAAAAAATAGTTTCTTTCTTTTAATATACCGAAAAATGATTTGAAACTAAATTCTTGACATGCGATTTTGTCTCATCACCTGCTTGGAGGTGAATAGTGCTTGCTCTTCGCTTCTTGACGAACCAGTCAGCATGCATAGGTGAAAAGCACTATTCACCAGTGTGGTATATACTGAACATGTACATCACATATTTCAAGGAAATAATTTTTATGCTCCGCTTCCATACAAACAGAGATGTTGTATGACCATACAGATGTTTGACTACACACATTAAGACAAGGACTGGAGGTGATGTACACTGATAAGCTGAGTATATTCCCTTATGCTTTGACCATTGAGTTGCATTCTATTGGAATGGACCACATTTGGTTACACTGTGACTGATGTTTCAAGAAGCCAGTCAAAAATCAAAATATTTAGACAAGTAAATGGGATAACGACTCTTGAAATGCCAATGATGACAAATTACACTCTTCCCTTTCTTGTCCTTTTCCTCCATTTCTCCTCCACTCCTGTCTAGTGCGTTAATCAGGAGTGATCTAAACCCTTCAACAAGAGGTCCTTTTATACGCTCACTAATTTTAACGAGGTGTAAATAGGCGGTAATTTAAAAAAAGGAAAGAAAAAGGAAAAAAAAACAGTATGGAAAATATGCAAAATTGATATGGAATCCTACCAGAAACACGATATTGGGGGAGAAGGCATTGACAAAGAGACAGTTACGATGACATTTTGGAAATAAGAAGCGAAGCATTCTTGAGCGCGTTGATTATATATTCTATTCGTGTTATGACATGATGAAGTGAAACTATTCTCAAATTTTATGAGTCATAAAGAGCAGTTTATTCCATTTTACTGATCCTTGTGTTCTTGTTCGCATTTCACTGAATTATTTTAAGGGTGGAAAAAACAGCTCGTTGAAGGGGCTGAAGGCCTTACTCGTATTTTACACTTCGAAATCATTTAGCCAGAAGATTACTATTATCGAGGAGTAGGCAAGCGAAATTCAAGAAATTGAGAATAGAGATGTCCTTGAGATACACGAAAAAAGATATAAAAGTGCAATCAACCAATCGGATCATTTGAATTACTCTATAACATGAATTATGATTGGCTTCTGGTAGCATGCTTTATGAGAACATAGAGTATGCTGACGACAGCGTTGTTCGCTTTGGAAATAGTAATAAAGCTTGTTTTGAAAAATGAAAGTGATGCGCATGGGGGATTTAATGGATTCTTTATTATAACACCAATAGAGAAGCCTTATAACAGAACAGAGCACAGTCAAGGCTTCTTTATTTGTTAAAGGAAGGTGGAATCTTGCTCAAAGCTGTAAGAAGTCGCAAACCACATACTCAGCTCAAAATTTAAATTGCAAAAATGACTTGCAAAAGTTCAGCGATACATGTCGCTGCCTAAAATAGGCAATGTTGCTATATAAGATCTGTTTGCTGAAAGTGCATACATCCCTTGACCAGGGAGGTATTCTTTACAGTTCAAATAAGGGAAAATGACATATTAAGAAAAAAAGCATAGGATCCGTTCGCATGTTCGTAATTTAATGCACTTTTTGAAAAATTGAATAAAACATTTTCACACTAAAAATACCAAAAAACGTTTCCGTTGGCAGAAGTAAACGTATAAAATGTTTTATTTCTACTTCATACGATAATCATTACAGGTACCCGTTGCATACAATTTAAGGCTGGTCTGAACTGTCGGAAATGTGAAAAGGAAATGCTTTACTCTTTGGGCCATAATCTTTCAGATAACTGAAACTTTTTGGAGTGTCGATGATAGCATTAATACTTTTTTCCTCGTGTTCGGTTACATTAGTAGAAAAAGGTGAATTTATCAGACTTTTTCAAGGTTGTTTTAAAGATTTAGTGAAACCCTTTTTATTCCGGTGTGATACCAGTGTGATACCAAAAAGTGATTGATACCGATTTTGAGAACCGAGAATGAGCGAGCGAGAATGAAACTGTTTTAAAAACGTTTTAAGTCCTCTGCACCTTATACTACCCCAGTAGTATAGGGTGCAGTATTTTAAGGGTGGAGAAATTCTAGATAAAACATTTGCAGTATTCACTAAGTCAGAGCGTACCTTCCACAGCAAACTAGACAATTGTCCTGGAACCATCCAAAACTTAGGCCTAGTCTAATGTTTCTTTTCACCTGCACTATATTGCAGGTAGTAGTTGTTTGCAAAAAGATACTTTTATAGGTTACAGTATCTACTGACCATGTGTATCAGAGCCAAATCCTAAAACCTGTCGTTACAGTCTGGTATTCGACCAAAAATGTGAGCTGTAGGATGTATTTGGGTGTATACCTCTCTTATTTTTTGGATGTCTTTAGAATCCTCAGCATCTTGGCACTGTTTACTGATTGCATTAAATTTCGTAAAGTATGTTAAACATCGCTCTAAATTCCTCCGAAGACGATTACCTATTTCTTGACCATCACTTGCATTTGTCTCATCGTGAAGAAGTTTGTCAACAGGACAGAACTCGGCACATGCCCCGAGGAATGTGCGATTTTTGCCATCTACCGGCTCTGTCTCAGGTACGAAGCCATTTAACCTTTCAAAAGTTCTTCGGCAATTTGTACATGCAGGTTTGTAGGTGCCCATGATATTTATTGCTTCCGATGTCCAATCTTGCGTATCTTCTGTATTTAAAGGCTGATGGAAAATGATTGCCTCTCTGAGACGCGGCTTTTTGAAATCAGCAATTCTTTTGTGCAAATAGAGAGGCCGTAGGAAATTACTTACTGCTATCGACGCGCCAACGAAGCTCTTGTTGTTATGTGAAACCACTGCTAAAGCCTCCGGTTTAAATACATTGAGCGAATTAAAGCTACGAAAAAGAGCTGTTACTTGTGCCATTACTTCATCGGCATGGGCTTTACTGCCTTCCGGAAGGTCTTTACTGCTTGTTATGACACTAACCTAAAAGATATTTAAAACTTAGCTCAGCTCAGATGAAATTAGTCCACTTGTAATGATTTTTTGGAGCTTCGAACGACTAATCAATGCCAAAGCATCGTTATTCAACTCCATCTAAGTACTTTATTGAAAATAAACCAGTGTAGCCATTGTGAGAGTTGCACTTGGTCCAAAGTGATAATTAACGTTATGTTTTTAATTCGTTGTGAGCACATCAAAAGATGACTTAAGATTGGATCGCTTTTCGTGGCTGTTAATGGATGTCTAGTCGTCTCCTGATATATCGAGCCTTTGCTATCTTAAACATCGCGCTAACAACGCAGGGTTCGCTTAGCTAAAGCAGTGTAACACACCCATCCAATTCAGTCCAAATTCTGGTGAAGCCATCGGGCAAGAGTTATCACAGAGTGAGAGTACGCGTTCAGTAGAATCTAGTTGTGTATACCATAAAAGAAGACAGCGCGACGGAGATGATTTTTTTTTCAGTCTGTCCCCCACCCCCCATTGCCACGGGGAAAAACTCTTTATGCCAGCTTACAGAGCTTTTACGACTGTAACGATGTGTAATTCATAGTAATCTTTTTATTTTAATGAAGAAAAAAAGTTTTTCACAGAATAGATGAATATGAATTTGAATATTAACCCACCCTTCGTAGATTATGAGTCCTCAGCATGAATATTGAAGAGCTCTCTGATATGTCTACTTACGATTTCCAAGATTTTACTCCCAGGGTCAATGACATTTTTTTCGTCTGGGTCTTCATTCATGTCATCGGCAGTCAAGCAGACTAATTCCCATCTGGCCATGTCCTTGAGCTTCTTATCTGCTTCGGCATCATCTTCAGATGTTGCAGTAGCATCACGATGGAACTTCAAGTGCAGTTTTAGGCTCCAGAAAATGGCTGTAAAATGTTCTATCAGTATCGAAATCAGCGAAGGGTTTCCTGTTTGATCATTTCTTTTCCTCTCCATGTACTCCTTAACAATTACTTCAAGAACGTCGTATACTTCAAGAACATATTTCCCAATCTTTTTGTTCAAATTTCGACTTCGTTTCGCTATTTCGTGTAAGTATAAGTGCTCGCGCTCCTTCGACATAGAGAGAGAATAGGCCGAAGAGAGATCTACACTGTATTCAAAATGGAAGTATTGTGTAACGGCCTAAAAGGAAACGTAGACGTAGCGACTGTGATTTTGATTGGAACGGTTGACTTCGCGTGGAACGCTTGTACTGAAAGCTGCGTCTCTAACTCTCATAACCCTACCCTCGTTGAAAGAATATACATATAGTCTGGTATACGAAACAAAAACATGTTGAAAAACAATAAAAACCTTTCTTTTTCTTGTTTTACAAACTCCAAAACACTCTTGGTTAGGGAATCAGCAGGACACTTTATGTATCTAACTACAATGAAAAGGTAGTCTGGAATATTTTCACCTGTCCTGTCCAGAAATGTGAAAACTAGCTTCAGCAGCGTCTTAGTATAACATGAATATAAACAATTTGGGCTATATTTCGAATAATAAACTTCTCCACCCTGAAATTTCCTTTCAATAAAGTTGCAACAAAAGTTAAGAAAAAATTGAAAAAATAAATAAGAGAATAAATTCGAAAAGGTATATCAGGAAAATAGACTCCGCGGAAAAGACCTCAGTTCCCGTCACTTTAATTTTGTATTCATCATTTGACATCCAACAGGGATGCAATTACTGACACCGCGGGAGTTTATCATTCTGCTAACCCCTAGCATGCAGTATTGGTATCATTTCAACAAACAGGGGGAAATTTTTGATGCTTTATCATGACGGCTGCTTACGAGTTCGACTATCCTCCTTCCTCTCAAAGGGAACTGGCATTCCGTGAAGAGAGTTTTCAGGAAAACGCGCCACGTGACTTCAGTAAAAGATCTTTTTCATCAGCATTCAGCAACGAGTTAATATCCAAAATGATGATAGGTTTCATAATTCTCCATAGTTTGTAACTGGAGAAATTAGCTGGTGAAGGGGAGGTCGATATTTTTAAACGCTGTAATAATTTTATTTACGTAAAATTACCAGATAGTGACCAGGTCGTAACCACAGAAAAACTTAAAAAGTAGCTCCATTATTGATATAACTAGTAACGCGATATCACTTTCATCACACGGGGACACGCCAGTTTACAAAACATGAGCAAACCTATTCGAGAAATAATTTTTATTATAACATAACTAGTAAATATGTCGAATCAAATTCAATTGCGCGAGCGTGCTCATATTCCTATTGTGCACGCTCATGACGTCAGCAAACAAATCAAATCAGCAAACCATCGGGTTGAAAATATTATAAAACAATTGGTTCATACGTCAGCTGTGCGTTCATCGAGATATGAAGCACTTGGGAAGTTTGGAGACACTCAAGAAGTTAGAGTTGCTCTCAGCTACACCTCGTGCAACTCTGACGCATCTCTCGTGCTCTCCAAACTTCCCACGTGCTTCATATCTCGATGAACGCACGCTGACATACGAACCAATTGTTAATTTTAGGCTTTCCAATTTTCCATACCAAAAGCGAATTATATCTGTGAGTTCCTTTACACTCCAAATACCCAAAGTGGATTTGAATAGATAGCAGATGTAGAGCATACTGTCACATCAATCTCATTTTAACGTGATGTTGTTAAATATTGCTTTCTGAACAAGACTATCTTTGCAATTGTTATGGTCAAGACTTGCTTGCATAAAATAGTCGGAATCCGATATGAATATGAATATTTTACTATATCATGCTGAGTATTTTTCGAGTTGTATTGTAAAACAACAAGTGACTTTACGCTCGTGTCGGATTACAGTCAAGTAACCCACTATCCAAATAATTGTAAAACATCGCGGGAGATTGTTCTCGATTCATATACATGTAATTTCCATTCCATATCGAGGGTAAGCTGCTAGAAAATTATGGGAAAAAAAAGAAACGAGATGCAGCAGTTGCTACCGATGACTCTGAGGTAAGTTTCACAAAACAGTCTTTATAATTTCTGATGGAAGATAGAGGGGTAATGGTGTAAAAACAGTCTTGGAGAAATGTAATTGACAATGTCCTTTTTCTTTTTTATATGACAGATACAGTTCGAAGTCCTGGTTGCGTATGAGTTGTCTTAGACAAAGAATTTCCCCCAAAGTTGAAATATTGACACTTTTCTGGAATTCATCTGCCGAGAATGGTGAGCCCGGATCACTTCATATTCGAATTCACAGTTCGGTATTGACATTATGCAGTGAACAAAAATACCAAAAATGGAGTTCATTCACATGATCGTCTGCAAGCAGGCTGTAATATGATTATTTAGATAGCAGTTGTATAGCTGATTCGCCATGATCAACATGTAATTTCTATTCCATATTGAGGGTGAGCGGCCTGAAAATGATGGGAAAAAAAAGGAACGGGATGCAGCATTTGCTACCGATGACTCTGATGTAAGTTACACAAAACAGCCTTTATAATTTCTGATGGAAGATAGAGGGATAATAGTGTAAAAACAGTCTCGGAAAAATGTAATTTAACAATGTGCTTTTCCTTTTTAAGATAAGATAAGATAAGATGTACGATTTGCTTGTTATTTTTTTTGTTATTTTTTTTAATCACATCCATCATTCAGCTAACTACTAGCGATTAATTAAAAAAATTCTAATTTTCCTGTACGATTGGGTCGAAAATTTACTCTTAGAATGTTGTATCAAACCTAGCAGGGTAAATTTTTTTGAAGTACTGGTACATGTTCAATCAAAGGTGGGCCGGCTATTTACACGAGTTGTAACCCAAACTGTGGTTTCACGCAATTAGTGAGCCTCGGGGTTTCTCCATAAGAGGTTTGATTTAATTAAATAAATGTCCTCCCACTGTCATCTTTCGGCCCTATTAACGATGTTCACAAAAACACATTCCGATGAAAGATTCAGTTAAATTGAGGATTGCTTAAGACCCAATTTTGTTAAACAACGGCAAAACTTTGTTGAAATAATATAATCAGACCTTTCTGTTCACGCACCAGTTCTTTATTAATTTTCATATTTCCATTCTTTTCTTCCTGTGCATTCCAAAACTTAAAATTGCTGATACATTTCTGTAAAATTAATCTTAAAATGTTATGTCCGATCTTAATCGTAAAGTGAAATGACCAGATGTACAAAGAAAAAGGAATATTTGCAACCAAACATGAAAAATTAATTGAGAAGGTGGTGAAAGGAAAACTTGAAAATTTTGAACGCAAAGAATATATAATTACGTGTATTCTATTTATTTATCATTATGTTTTGAGCTTCATCGAATAATGTTCATACGCATCTTGAATATTATGACTGTCTGGTTTTGCATTGATGTTTCTTGGCTCCTGTGAGAAAAATTGGTTATGAAGCCCCACAGGCACTATGTAACGCCGCCTCTTAAGACACAAGCAAAGCTGCTGGATCTTTGAAATACGATTTTTGATTGTAATTAACGAAAAGCTATTTCTGGGATGGGTGATTTGTGTAACTGGAAAAATCTCGATCATTACCAGTTCTGAGGTAATTAAGGAATGTAAATTCAAGCAGTATCTGTATATGTGTTTTTAATTTATTTGAGTGTTGGAAAATGAATGGAAATAGTATATAGGCACAAACCATTCAGTAAAAAAATATTATAAGCTAGTGGATCATTTCCTATTTCTTAGGCAGTGTCCCAAATTTTTTAAGCGCAAACCATTCAATAAATAAATATTATTAGCCATTTGATCATTTCCTATTTCTTTGGCGGTCTTACTTCGTTAGTAGAGTAACTAATTATGAATTTTTATTTGGCACTTTAAACACCTCTTTCTTGAAGGCGACTAAGGGTGTAAACAACTTGTACTTTTCATCCTCCCACTGAATTTACAATCAGTTAACTTAGATAACAAGCAGGTACCTCTTTTGAAGGCGGTAGCTTGGGTGCAGCTTTTCTTCTCCGAAGGCTATTTTTTTCTTCAGATATGTTTTAAAGTGCAATTCTAGTTTCATCAACGGGTCCTCTTTAAGTTCCATATTACCAATTTTTTTTTTATTTTTTATCTGTTTCACGTAGCTTAGCATGATTCGTTAGTGAGGTGCGATATGGTGACGTTGGTCAAAGATTGACAGCCTGATAACTATCACCTTTATAAGCTGGTAACCAACACTTTCCTTTAGAGAGCAGAGCTAGACCCCGAGTTTCTAAGTTGTGTTGAGTTTTAGGAAAGGAAATGAAGAAATCGTCAACTATACACCTATACAAGAAAAGATACATACGAGAAATACTTCCAACAATTATCAGCGCAATTGCTGTATGTTAGTAAGTTCATCAGCATTCTTTGTTTTTTTCGGAAGGAATCAGACTCCGGTGAAGAAGGAATCAGCATAGAAGAACTAAAGAAAACAACCGAATGGAAGTTGTTAATAAAGAACTTGGATAAACATTTCAAGCCAAAGGACTTTGACAGTCAGTGAAAAACCATGTCATTCTCGAGAGGCCATTATTTTCTTTTTCTTTTTTTTTCTTGCTACTGCTCACTGTGGCAAAACGTTTTCCTCTCATATTACTCCATTTTTCGCTCTGTAAGTCAATTTTTTTATCTTGCCTGTAATAATGAAAACTGGCAGGGGATTTTAAATTTCAGGAAGCAACGATTTGTTTAGATTGCTGACACCACTCGTGACGAAGTAGTCTGTAGCTTTCAAACTTAGTTTTTTTTTTCATTTGTCTTGCTTCGCTTTCAAGTATGTAAAGAAGCCTCATCTTGGTCTAACGAAGCCTAAACTATTTATAAGACACTAAAACTTACCTTAACCTGCTAGGAAAACACCGTAAAACTAGAGCACTTGATACATGTAAGCTATTTTCACACAGCCAGTCGCCCTTTCCACTGTTTAATATTTTCTAAACAGAACTGAATATTCGGAAGCGGTGACGCTTGCTTCTATAGTATAGAAATAGAGGCTATTTCAAGACAACAAAGTTCTACGGGATAATAACTGATTGTAGACAGTGCCGCTAAACCTTGTCCAGCCTCTCTCTTTTGTGCATTGGTCACACTGGCTACGGCGAGGAAGACAAGATTTCTGTTC